AATTAATATTGAACCAAAACAGTTAAACTCAAAAAACTATTAAAGTCAAACCAAATTTATTTCATGTTCAAAAAAAAAAAACCAAATTTATTTTTTTTAATTCAATTTTTAAATAACCATTCGATTACTCACCTAACCGCCCACCCCTTAACTATATGTTTCAAATTAAAAAATCTGAATATCGACAGCCTCATGTGATATGTCAACAAACAACAACATTGCCTCCTCGAGCTTTTCTAATGTAGTTTCAAAGTCCTCGTCACTTCTGTCAATTCATAGTTACTTTTAGCTAAGAAAGAAAAATATTTTTCTTACTCTCAATTTGTTGTTCCAAAAGAAGACAGACTCCTTAAAATTTATTGTTGAGATGACTCATAGACAGGTTCATAATAAAAGATTCTTTTCTAACGTAGAAAGTTGTTTTTCCAGGGAAGAAAAGGAGGATCCTCTACCTATCAATAAGAACTTAATTTGAGTTGTAGGTAATGATTGAATGGTAAACTTAAATTTTTACCTTAGACATTTTGAATTGAAATTTTGAAATAAATAAATATTTTAAAAAATAATAATCATTTTATATTATATAATTTATCATTTAACATATTACAAAAATATTTTAAATTTATTTCTTATGTAAACGGTAATGAGTTATGTTGCATAAAATTTTCAAAAATGAATTGTCATTTCACACCATCAATCTTGAGGATTAATTGTATGTTTAATTTAAAGTAAATTGAATAAAGTAGAAGGGAGAGAAGGAAAATAAAAAAATACAACATTCTTCCGTTCTTTTTCTTTCTCTTTTTTTTTATTTGAAAAAATAAAATAAATACTCTAACCCCTTCTAAATTTTTTTTAACAAATTATAATTTTGAAAAAGGGGATTTGGACCCCAATTTTAGGTTGAAATGTACATTTTATAATGAAATATATAGTTATTAAATTACAAAACCTCAAGTGCACCCCTTTCTAAATTTTTTATTAACTAAATAAAGAAATTTTCATTTATCTTCTCCCTTAAAATGGTCAAACCAAACATTAAAAAAAACAAAAAAAAAACAAAAAAAAAGGGCTTAACAAACTGAGTTGCGTAGGATTGTGTCCGGCAGACGCTTCAGAACGAAAGCACCGTACTTGCATGTTGGAATGGCATATCTGTAATGTCCTCTTGTTCTCTCTCTTTGGATACAAACATGATCTTTCAAAAGATTTTGCCCTCACTTGTCTTTGATGCTTGAATTCATTAATGGATAATGCCCAACACTGGTTGCCATAAAAGGCAACGGAAACTCCATTAGCAATTATAAGCGGCAAAACCATAAGTTAAACCCCTAAACTAATCCCAGAATTGCTATTGAGCCCCCAGACTTTAATTAATGCGTATAAGCTTATGAACTCTGCAATGGAAGCAATTTAGCCCTTACTCTCAC